AGGTAGCGTACTAGGGGAGTGTCAGAACTGAGAAAGTATTCCAACAACCCGTGTTTTTCGCTTACAGAACGGTAGTAGATCAACGGTCCACTTTCCTGGCACACCTGCAATCCCAATGTCGGTCATCGCTTGTTCCGCCATATCAACGAGTGGGTCCGGACCTCGCGCGTTGGGTGTGTACCCATAAGTGATTCTCAATATCACCGCGCCAGCTTCTTTTCTGATATGATCGAACAAATTCTCGGGGCTATCCAAGAGATTGAGCAAGAAATGTGCTGCCTCTTCATTTTGTATACGATCAAATGCTGCAATAGAGGTAGTCGATCCGGCAATCTTAGCAAGGTTGCGACGTTGCTGTCTAAATTCGGCACCAGGCTGCAGCATGGCCAACATATTCTTCCAGCCCACCCTGTTCGTATTAGCTTCCACGAAAGAATATCAATTCGGATTCGGTTAGATGTACATCTCACCACTAAAGACCTGTTTCGGCCTTGCAGAGTAGTTTGGTGCGCGGTCCTTCAAGAGCTTCAGTGCGATGTCTGCATCATTGACAATTATAAACGTTTGGCCGAGAACAGAGACAGAGCTGATCGGACCATAGGTGTCCTTGTGTTTGAGCCAATGCATCCATTCGACGTCGTTGACCTTAGGCATGTCCTTGATATTACCCAGGATCGGGAGGCCTCTGGGACCTGGAGGAAGAGGTAGCTGATGTCTCTTCACCAGCAGATAGCGGATCACGAAAAAGAGCGCGGCAACGCCAAAGGCGACACCGATGTTTGGAGTAGAAAGTAGCGACATGGTGAAGCTACAGTTTTCTCATTCAAACAAGTGGTATGAAGGATATGAAGAGAAGTGATTGGAAGGGAAACAAGAAGATCAGAAGGGTAGGACAACCATTGAGGATACGACTTATAAAGAGGGAGATCTGCCAAATATCTTCTTGTTCGTTATCGTCCATTTGCCTCAAAGGGACAAATTACTGCAGAGCGTTCACATGATGCACCTTTTGCAAGCTGCACAAGCACTTCAGTAAATACATGGTGCAGATGCAACAACCAACGATAGAGCCAGAAATGATATGTTGGGGATACCTGCACAGCATTGCTCCATTTAAATCATGCTTTGATCGGTGAGCTTGTTCCCGTGAGCCGCTCGTAACGAACATGTGCATCAAAGCATTCTTGCTATTATCCATTCACTATTCGGCGGTCGAGGAGTCAGACAAGTTTCTAGAATTAGCTCGAGAGAAATTATATCTGCCCTATCGTCATGCGCAAGATTTTGGGCTAAACGAAAGACGATTGTGTTATAGATAGGGTGACGCATGTAACTACGCGGGGAACGCACGACTGCATCGAGGCTGGGCATTCGTAGGTGTGGTCACACAACGAGGAGGTTATATATTGCTTATGTGAGGTTAGCGAAGGCGGCAATCGCAAGATACTTGATTGTCAGCAAGATGCATTGACGATCTTATTGAGGAGTAATATTGCTATGCTTTCCCTTTATGCTTACTAAAAAATGCCTAATTGTTTTTTCGAATTCTTACGTTGGACGAGTTCAGTAAAGAGACATGGAACCGCAAAGTCTGTGTTTACACGCCCTTTGGCGTGTTTTCTCGTAGTATAAAGTGCGGCGCGCGCTTCATGCAGCTTCCGCTGCATAGCACGTACCATCACTCCCGACAGCTTCTCCTTCGCGAGAAAATAACGCGATCTAATTGGCTCAAAGACTTCCTGTTATCATTCATCAGATCTATGCTACACAAAATGCTACGTAAACTTCTCCTTCTTATATGGGTTGGTCCTTCACAACATGATGAGCACCAACATCTCTAGCTGCTCGCAGCCAGGAGCCATTCATCATTGACTTCGGGCTATCAGTACCATCTTTCGTCTACACGGTATATCTTAGGCTGCAACTCAGCTGACATAACGCTCAATCAAATTCTTGTGAAATATCTAAGCGATGTTTGCTATCAAATGCCGTCCTACACGAAAGACAAGGATTTAACCTCGGTATGACGAACAACCAGGCAGCTTCAATAAGAATAGGAAGCATGGTGCCGAAATAATGGTCCGCAACGAGAGTCGGGAAGTGGGGGCTGGCCCTATTAATGGCGCGAATGCACTAACTTCTTGTTCCTCCGCCTCCAAGATTATGTTTTACCCCGCCTTTCAGCTCGTCATTATCCCTGTCATCTTCCCCACACCACGTGTAGATCGTTCAGATGGGTCATAAGTCACGGGACAAGTAACGCGTCGTGCAAAGGCCGCGGCACGATGCGGTCAATATTCAATCGCCGAAGGCGTTGATAAGTGGCAGGGGATAATTCCGTATCACAAGTATCGTATCCAGTAGGCAAAATGTTCTTCACCAACAATCGTTCTTTGCTACTGTCATGCCTTGTGACGCTCGTGGAAGTAGAGGCTGCTCGTATACCTTCAAGACCTAAATCGATTGCTATTCAACACTCAAGCCCCCAAAATGCCGGCATTCCTCTGGATTCATTCGTTTCTTTCTCATTCGAGTTTTCATCATGGCCCGATTTTGCTGGTATTTTGAATCACAAATCCTACTGCTAAAGCTCAGTACTTACACTTTACTGCCAGGTAACCTATCAAATCCAAATAATTTCACCGGAAACCTTTTGAGTAACTTGGGCAAGTTACAAGGCTCCATGCCATATGTTCGAGTGGGAGGAAATACACAGTAATTATATGCTTTTTGCATACACAAAAAGACACTACTCTAACTGAGGACTTAGGGACTGGGCGGTTTTCGATGAATCGCAAAAGACCAACATAATTGGTATCATTCAACCAGAGCTCTCGGCCGACTACCCAACCATCATCACGTTTGGACCGTCCTATTTCGAGTCCTACCAGACTATGCCTAAGGGTATAAAATATGCTCATGGTCTCAATATGGCCGCCAATTCTAGTGCCGAGAGAGCTGGCACTTTTCATTCCGCCTCATATGCTTGCAAGGCAATCGGGAGCAATCTTTTGTACTGGGAGTATGGCAACGAGCCCGATCTTTTCAATCTTGCTGGCCACCGACCCCGCAACTACACCGAAGCGGATTACGTTTCTGAATGGTTGAATGGAACTAAGGCCATTAAAGATATTGTTAAAGTAGCATGTCCGGAACTCGCTGGTGTTAAGTTCATGGGACCGAGCTTCGCAGGCCCTACAGCTGTGGACATAGCCACTCTGAATGCTGTCAAAGCATGGAGAGAAGGTATCAACAAGGATGATGACATAGGCATAGTTACTTTGCATCACTACATGGGCGTGTCTACCTCTCCTGGAATCACGCTGCAAGGCACATTGATGAACCACACGAACGTTAAAGTAAAGGCAGAGGCTCAATTCAACCTGTCGAGAGGAATCAGAGAATCAGAAAATGCGCCGGCTCCAGACATTCCTATTATCATGGGTGAGCACAACTCGCTCGCCAGACAAGGACGACCGGGTTTGAGCAACATTTTTGGAGCAGCGTTGTGGGGCATTGACTGGAATTTGTACCTCGCATCACATAACATATCCCGCTCACATATGCATCAAGGGGCCAACTATCGGTAAGTATATTGTTCCCACCACTTATTTTTCAATTTCCGACTGACGGCAAATCCAAAGCTATCAAGCATGGCAGCCTATCGAAACAAATCTAACAACCAAAGGAACGAAGCCGCCATATTATGGAAGCGTGGCTGTCGCAGCGTTCATGCATCGAGAACTACCCTCAGATCATTTAAGTGTCTCTCACCTCGACTCATCTTCTGAGTTCTCTACCCAGTATGCGGCTTACATCAACAACACTTTGGCTCGCATCCTACTCATAGACCTACACACTTACAATACAACTGACAATAACTACACAACTCCATTCCCGCGACCCGTCGAAGAATACGAATTGAAGCTACCTGGTTGCTCCGAAGGCAAGGCCCAGGTGCAAAGATTGATTGCAAATGGAAGTGATGCAATTACGGGCATTACTTGGGATGGCTACAGCTACAACTATGAGCTGGATGAGGGAAAGCCTGTTCGGTTGAACAATGTCACTCGTGGAGAAAACGTAAAAGCAAGTGAAGATGGTGTGATTAGGGTTGATGTTCCTTGGAGTAGCGCGGCAATCGTCACTCTGGATTGTTGAACTGTTTTTAGCGAGATGATAGATGACGACTAGACTGTGATTGTAGTGAAGTTGTATACCAGTTGAGGATCTTACAATACATCGCTTTCCTAATGCAACCACTAGGGAGAAAATTTATGGTGCGATTGCGAAAACGATTAGTATCGTTGACTCTCCTTGACTCTCCATTATTATCGCCGGCGGAAAGCCGGTAGTTGATATTTTGGATTAGCCCCGGTATTCATGCTTGTGAGTACACACCATGGAATTAATTAAACCCTCCATATTTCGAAAGATATGTAAAAGGCAGTTTGCATTCGCTACTACACCGCTCTTCTTTGCGACAGTAGTCTCCCAAGCAATGCGCTGTAGAAAGGCCTGAGTCGTTGCTCACCCGCAAACTACTGGCTTCGAGGTGGTTTAGCCGAAAAGGCCTATACGGACCAGACCACCCAGTAGTGGCATTGAGAGTGGCGGCGAAAGATCTTGAGACAACCTACTATCTGTATCGGCTGCAACTTTCTTATGACGCAGGGCTCACGTCGTTGCATTATGCGTTATGACTTTCCCCACGATTCGGCTTTTGCCGACAGCACGGTCAGGTGCTAGCGCGATGTGGCGAGAAGAGATGTGGCGGTGCGCGTAGCGATCGCCCGCGTGGGACTTTCGGGAATGTTCTTTTACGTCACCGCTTCCGCCTACAAGGCCTACAAGGCCCACAACATCGACACACCAACGCGTAAAGCTTAAAGATTCTAGGCTTGCGCTGATCTTGTACCATACTGTGAAATCAAAGAAACTTCCTAAACAACAGAGTAGTATTGTGCGACGGATAGAGTTGGCTACGTGTGATTTCTATCATGGACGTGGAACTCTACGTGTACGACCTATCTCAAGTAAGTCTCCAATGGAGAGCGCTCTCATAGACGTCTTTCAGAGAGCAACGGTACTAACGGATTTAGGGTCTGGCGAAGAGCATGTCTCGCCAGTTTCTTGGAATACAAATTGATGCTGTATACCACACGTCTATCGTCTTTGGTGGCATAGAATACTACTTCGGACAAGGAGTGCAGACATGTAGAGCGGGAGCGACTCACCACGGCCGGCCGATGGAGGTTATTAAGCTGGGACAGACTGCGCTTCCAATGGAGGTGATTCTAGAGTACCTAGAATCTCTGAAAAAGATATACACACCCGAAGTAAGTAAACTCCAAACACCATGCCATGAGCAAGTGCTGATGTTTTCCAGTCATACGATCTATTCGCACATAACTGCAACAACTTCTCAAACGATTTTGCAATGTTCCTTGTTGGCAAGGGAATACCGGATCATATCACCTCTCTCCCACAAACCGTTCTCAACACGCCCTTTGGGCAAATGCTCAAACCGCAGATTGATGCCGCCATGCGACCAATTGTACAGGCACCTACGCCCCATGCGGGTCAAGTACAACCATCAAGTGCGAGTGCGTCGAATGGAATAGCAAACGGAGCTTCTTCCGGCAGCATGACTGAACTAGAAATGAACACGGGCAAAGTCAATAATGTTACATCACTTAGGGACGTAGATCGCTTACTTGGCCTCGCCAAGGATCGCTGCGCCATCATCTTCTTCACTAGCTCTACATGCGCTCCTTGCAAGATTATGTATCAGCCATACGACCAACTCGCAGCGGAAGCAGGGATGAAGTGTGTGTTCATCAAGATCGATTTTAGCCACGCCGACAGCTCGATTAGTACCCGATATCCTAACGTACGCGCGACTCCAACATTTATTACATATCTGAAGGGAGAACAACGAGATGAGTGGAGTGGAGCCGATCCAAGGCAGCTGCGTAGCAATATAGAGATGTTGCTCAATTCAGCATTTCCGCCTCACCCACATCTGGACAAGAGCACACCTTTGCTCATGCGACAGAACCAAAGACCTATCAGATTTACAAAGGTACCGCCATTGGAGAAGTTGGTTGCGAAGATGGGAGATGCCGGAAACGATCCTGCAGTGTCATCTATTGTCGCTTTTATCCAAGCCCGTGAGAAGTCCGGAGCGATTGAAGCACCCTTGACCGAACTCCCAAAGTTTGCGGATTTCTTGAGAAAAATCACCTCGGTGCTTCCGACTGAGCTCCTATTTACTGCGTTGGACCTGCTTAGGATAGCGCTCACTGACGCTCGTGTCGCCGGCTTTTTCGCAGAGGAGCATAAAGGCGCAACGGGTACACCAGCGACAGTACACCATCTACTCGACCATGTTGACAAACTGGGTGATAGCGCACCATATCCCCTCCGGCTCACCACACTGCACCTAGCGTGCAACCTCTTCAGTTCACAACTCTTCGTACCGCACCTTCTCTCACAGCCGCTTTCGTCAAATCTCATTTCCATCTTGACGACCGCTCTTCTCGATGAGAAATATCCCGCACTCAAAGCCTCGGCCCTTAATCTAGCAATGAATATCACTTCTTCCAACCACCAGGTGCGGATGAAGAAGTATAGCGCCAACCCCTCACACTCCCTGCCCGGGGAGACGGAACTTGAAGAGTCCGAGCAGGTCGAGCTTCTCGCTTCGCTGCTCGAAAACATAAGTACCGAGGAGGAGTGGAACGACAATAAGAAGATGAGCGTGATTAGTGTTGGGTGGTTAGTATATGGCGCTGATATGAATGGCGAGCTGAGAGATTTGTGGAGAGTCATGGATGCGGCAGGTACCATGGGTAATGTCCAGGCAAAGGATGCTGAGGATCGGCTGCTGGTTAAGGAAGTCAAGAGCTTGTTAGAGGCATAGAACTATGGGATAGATTACATCAAGAACAGCAATGTGATTCCCTTTTTTGTTTGAATGTATTGGTTGCTTTTATGTTATATCACCCGCCTTATCAATTGGATCGGCCATGATGTTATTTATACTACTAACAGCAAAAAAGTGACATTTGAAAACTACTGATATCGAACCTTCTTGGTTATTCTAGCTAAGCATGGGTTCTGCATATGAAATTCGAGGCGCTGAAAGGCGAGCCCGTGAGCAAAAAGGAAAAGGCCGTCATGTACGTGCCAATAGGGATATATCCCATTCCATGTTCTATTCGAGTTCTTCTATCATCACGCCAATATGCCGAGTCCGACTCCTGGGTCTGGATTGAGGATATGCTACGAATGTACTACCATCACCCTGAAGCTGTGGTGCCGGATCGCGCGCTAGCACATCCTTGCGGGTGAAGCTGTAACCGCAGCGATATGGAGACCAGAGCCAGGTTCTGGTACCTTGATACGAATGCATCGGTGGCTGGAGAAGGGTGATGTGTGGGTGAGAAGACGTTTGGCGCTTCTTGGTTTGTTGACTTCGAAGATGTTGGCTTCTGCTGTCAATCATGACGATGTGATCGAATCCCTTACCAACTATGCACTTTGTGCCGCAACGTCTGAAGTCAGATCTGGGTCCATTTCCGCGAGGAATGCATCCGCTGCTTCGGCCGCTTTGGCCGCTTCTGCTGCTCTGGCGGTTCTAATAGCCATACGCTGCGCTGCGCTTCCTCCTCTTCTACGTTTAAATTTGGAAACCTTTATCCGCTCAGCTTCTCTTTTTCTCGCCGCCTTCTGCCTTTTCTCGTAATTATTCGCGTCTTGTGGATTCGGCTCGAGGGTCTCGGTTCCATCTGGGTGTCGCACCACCTTCCAACCGAACGGAGCCTCGCGCAAGGTACATCGCGGCCCCCTCTCCTCCTCCTCAGGTTCGCCGTAAAGTCGTACGTATTCGCGCCTATGTCACATGTGTTGAGAGATGGGTCTGGTGGGACGTAGAACACTCGTGAACCGTACCTTGCTCCTGCTCCAGCCAGCTTGTCAGCTGCTTCGTTGCCTGGATTGCCTGCATGACCCTTGACCCAACGAAAATACGTTGCGCTGCCTATCGCCTTGCGCTGTTCCAAGAGACGAACGCTCGGTTTGATTCAACTCTAGATTCTTCAGCGGCTCGCCTTTGACCTTCCTCCAACTTTTCCATTCCCATTTATAATACCATTCTGTCACACACAAGATAGTGTATGTTGAGTCTGTTTCAATGAGGAGATTCTGTGTGGTGGGTATCGTTTGCAAGGCTTTCAAGACAGCTTTGAGCTCAGCGCGTTGGTTAGTTTGGGGACCCGAGCCCAAGGGTTCGCCATAATTTCTACGCATCGTCTAGTCAGTAGTGAGGCATGATGCAGTGCGCATAGCGTGTTGAGATGTGCTGATGCTTTCGCACCTTGGGTCGTTGGGCCCGAAGTAAACACCAACACCAGCTGCAGCCTTCTTCTTTCCATTGCCGAGAGAGCTGCCGTCAGTGCTGACTTGCTCGAAACCTGGAAATCCCTCAGACCACATTGTGCGTTTGACGTATGGTGGTTGGCGCTTTGTTTTGGGAAGAAACAGCTTTGCGTAGATTTGGCGTTTCGAGCTGTTGCAGCCGATGTGGCGCAACGCACGTGTTACTACTACTAGTACGTACGTAATTATTGTAGCATCACACTTACAGATGATTGTGGTGAACAAACTCTACACCCACACCTCAAAATAAACAGGATTTTATATACATTTCCTCTTTCAAAACACCAGATCACTTTCTAACTTCTTCCTCGCACCGGTCTGATAGCGTTTATATTGCATTTCAAAGTGCGAGCGAAAATAGTCGCTCAATTCATACGTAGAGAGAATAATTTTAAATACCGTAATCTACTAGCATATGATCAGGTGGCGGGTGCAACTTGGTGTTGCTGTTCGGCATGGATGGTTCATATCCAGCGAACTCTATTGCAGCGATTGTTTTTCGGCTATTGTCTCCCTTGATTCCGAGTCGCCCCTCGACCTGTAAACAGCGATATCCAATCTTGCTACAGTATAGATAAGGACCTTACTAAGAAGTTGTGCAGATTATCAAGAGCCTATTTCCTCTCCAAACAAGATATCATGGGCTACGCCTTTGACCTTCTATGTGTGCATCGTGCCCGTGATACACAGCTTGAGGCTTACGGGATGACTGGAGGCCTATCTTGATAGAGATCGTACGCTATGGAAACTGAAGGTGTCATTTTAGAAACTCTCCGCCAGAAGGTCTGAATCAATTAGATCGTGATGCTTGTATACCAGCGCTTCGTGCTAACATGAGCCGGCTGTTGACCCAGGTCACTTTCATGGGCTGGACGAAGAGGTGTGTTCGGCCAAGACGTCGGGATTTTCTAGAATCATCTGCACAACTAGTAGATTTCGTACATAGGTTCACAGTTGTTGCAGCGGAGCTAATTCATCTCAGAAATCAATCTCTTGATTGGCTTGCACCGTGTCATGGCACTGGGATCTGAGCATCTGGCTGCTGGTGTATTGGCGATGCAGTAAATCCTTGGCATAATTGGATTAAACCCGACGAACCATGCTGTGTTGGGTGAGCGCCATTGAATCAACACGATGTCAGTTCTTTTGAGGAGATCGAAAACAACGGGGAGACTGATGAGATGATATTTGTGTTGTACTGCGAAAACGAATAAAAACCAAATCCGATAAAGGCTCCGTTTCTTAGAAAGGAATACCAAAGTTCTTCGGACCAGGTAGCTCGGGCAAACTAATTACAAAGGTAAACCGCGTAGCCACCAAAGCTCGTGCCATGGCGGCAGCGGTGGTTCCGTCTGGAATTCGGACGGACTATGGTTGAACCATTGGCTATGCCATCCATTACAATCCAGGTCACGGTGGTTTTCAATTATAGCTTCGACGTCGTAAGGTTCACCAAGGTCGAAGTTACATCTAATGAGACAGCTAGTAGTGGAAAGTGTCTCCATTACTTTGGGAAATCCTTCAAAAATAAAGCGGCAGTCGAATCCACTTTGTGCCCAAGAAGGTTTCGATACTAGACCTCGAGAATAACATAAGTCAACAGCAGCTTGCCAAGCGGCGTCTCGTTGCACTATGCGGAAGACTTTAGAGGTGTGTTCGGGTATAGGGTCTCCATCTAAGACAAGAGTAAATGAGCCCTCAGGCATTCCGAGCGAAGGCAATGCCAAAGCCTCGACCATCCAATTCCCGACTAACTGTGAGACCTCTGAGGCCTGGAGACGGTCGTTTTGCATAGAGTCAACTCCCCGCCACCATTCGTGAAGGTATCTATGTTGGATGCTCGAACTGGGTGCAAATACGGTCTTCCAGAGATTTACGCGGCGTTCGACGTGAAGTTTTTTGTTTTTCTGGCAGAGTGAAATAAAGCCGCGACCGTGAGTATGGGACTGTCCTACTGACATCTCGTCTTCGATGAGAACGATCTTACGAACCGAATTGCGGACCTTCTCGGTACATGAATTGAAGAATTGAAGCGCCAGAGCAGCTGCAGAGTACCTTAATGTTGTCTTTGGATGGCACTTGTATACCCTTTGGGAAACTCCTACAATATCTGCCAGGCGCTTGAGCTCAGCCATTTCGATGATGCGCCAGGGTTCGAGGTATGAATTTTGATGTCGCACTAGATCTAGATACCTGCTAGGAACATTGTAGGGTGGGCGCAGGCTCTTTACTGCATCGTTGAAGGCTGGATGTTTCGTCATAAGCTGCAATATGAACATCTGAAAGTCGCTCCAAATAGATCGTGCTTCACTGTCGTCTTCAAAGTTAGGCCAAAGCCGGTACTCTTCCCGGTCGAGGGACCGGGATCTCCAAGGACAGATATTGTGCCAAGTTATCGCCCAGAATTCCCGAGTACGAATGTGTTTCCAAGTTCTCGAGCGGAGTTCCCGAGTGTGGATGCTTTCCATGTTTCCCATGTTTCTCCCGGTTTTTCCCCAAGATGCGACCTGCTCTGCGAATTGGGGGTAGGTCTCTTTCGTCAGTTCGAGCATCTCGGTCGTAAACAGCATGGAACGAATCGCGCTGAGCAGATATCTTCTTAAAGTGCTGCAGTCACGAATCACATAGTGATGCAAAAGCGCTTGATCACGCAATGACTCCGTGTAGGCCGCCGAAAATGTGATCGTGTTCACTTGGAAAGCCAATCCTTCAAGCTCGGACGCAGCTTGTCGGCATGTCAAGGTTAGTGCATTAAAAACAGGGCCTCCATCAGCTCGCCGAAGTTTCCGCGTTTCCACATCGTACACGTAGCCGCCATCGCAGCGGACATAGTAGTCGTAAATTAGATTTCGTAACTCCCAGGGTAATTGGAAAAAGGGGAACATGCTTGACAATATACGATAGAGTTTCGTGTCGGTCTGGTAGCCGGCTTGAAGTGGTTCAAGTATGTGAGCGGACGGTGTGAATATGAACAAAACCGTCAGTAATATAGTTTCTGGCAAAAATTGGGCGAGGAGGAGTATTTATAATGGCGTTGTAGCCACGTACCATGGGAGTGAACGTGTGCTATCCATGGTACGACGTGGCTGTGCGTAGGCATCCATCCATGACAACATCACACATACAATTTTGCATAGAGGAAACCAATTTTTTTGCAACGGTGGGGGGCCGTTGTTATGACTTGACTTTTCTTCTCTGTTTGCTATATAGCGTATCAGATCAATTATCTCAGAAAAGAATGGCAGGCCACACCCCAACCTGCCGAAATCGGGTATCAAAAAATGACTACAGTCAAAGTAAAAAATCGGGTGAGGCTGCAAGTTATGTTAGCATCTACATAAAAACCTCGGAGCTTCGGCTCAGAGACTTACGTCTGAGAGACTTACGTCTGCGAGACCCTGCTTCGAACCCTCAGGAATGGTTTGGTAATACTACCAAAATCGACAAGATTGCTCAGCATATGGCCATCGATGAGCCACAAGG